AGACAAACAGGAAAAATATGACTGTGGGACCATTCCGTAGTGAGAATTTTATCTTTGGTCAGAATGCATTGAGCAGAAACTCATGTAGAAAAATTCAAAACACACGTAAAAGCCCATTTTGTACTATAGTGCATTAAAACTTATTTGCTTTACTATCACTACTTTTTTTAATGAATCCTCACAATTGGTGGAAGTATAAATAGCGTCCTTTTATCATACGGCAATAATGGAAAAGGAAAATACATTAATTTCCGCACCTCCTCAGCAAACTTTCCAACTTTTAGAATACTGATCAAAGAAAAAGAAAAAAAAACATCTGCAGGAAGAAAAGCAGGTGAAGAAACACCAATATAATACATACAAGCAGTGCAAAATCTTTTCTTTTTAAAAGGAAGTAAACCAACTCTACCCCTTTATTATTTCCAGATTATGAATGTCATCTTGTGATATTTATCTACCAGCACCCTACTCCCAATTCCAAATGTGGCACAGGATCATGAAAAATGAAAATCAAGACATCATGTTAAAGTCTTAGAGAAGATATACCTCTCAACTCCATTGACTCTTGCAGCCTCGATCATGTTAAAGCTGATCATTGTATTGTTATACATTATGACAGAGTGGTTGGACTGAATGAACCCCATTTCTCCCATATCAGCAGCAAGGTTGAACACGTGATCAACTCCTTGTGTAACTTTCAGACAGTTATCCATCACCCTCAGATCAACCAGATGGAATTCATGACAGAACATGTCCTCAGTCATGTGCTCATTTTTCTTCCAGTCCGAAGCAATAATGCAATGACCCTTACTCTTCAGACGCCTGGCGATATGTGAGGCAATGAATCCACCAGCTCCGTGATGCAAATCCGGAGCTTCTTAGAAGGCCAATAGGGTTCTCTCTCAAGGTCTCCGTAGGTGTATTCTCCATAGTTGGTCTCACCACTGCAAGCCATTCTGCAGTCACCGATTCAAAAGAGGAAGAGGTGAGCACGGGGTCTTTAAAGTCACGAATAAAAGTAATTGTGAAAATCATGATTTATCAAACATCTGGATAAAAAACTGGAAATGATTAATAGCAGAAAATCCCTAGAAACGTTTCTATTTGCAAGATATCCCCTAACTATTGGAAATCGCAGAAAACCACCCTGTTTGAAACCTTTTTGTGTACGAACCCCCCGCCCCCCAACACCACTGTCCAATTTCATTAGTTTGAGAGTTAAAAAGGGTAAAAATTGCCAAAATTAAAAAATTAATAATAATAATTGTAGTTGCGGCCAAACTTTTTATTTTTTTTGCAAATTACACCAAAATCTTTTATTTGCGCAACCCACAATCACAAACGTTTAAAACTTTATCTTCTTCCCCACTCCCACCATATCCCACCTCCCATTACCATGAGAAGCAACAAATCCTGTAACTTCCGCCGCCCATTACCATGAAGCAGAAAGACTGAATTGCTCCTCACCCTTCTTTGTCCTCCCTTCCCTCCAATGTCCAACCCCAAGTTAGTAGTTAGTAGATAGACAAAAGAATCCCTCTTAGAAAATCAGAAGAGCACCAAAACACTCGTCGCCTTCTCCTGTTTTGTTGTTCGTGCAAATCCGAAACACGTGCTTGAACCCTACGCTTGAAAACTAGCCACGAACTGAAAATCAGGTCACATAGATCGGACCGGCCGAGCATAATCCACCTTACACCTTTATACATTACAAGAAACAAGTCTAAACTTGCCATCTCCAAACTTGCCCATTGTTGCCCAAGCCAGATATTAATGTTTTGCTACTCACTCAAGCATCACGAAAACAGAAATCCAACCCATGATTTACAACCCA